ATCGTCACTTCAGGAGGAGATCAGGACTGTGGAGAGTTCAGTGATACGTACCTGGCTGTCTTCATGTCGACATTGCTCCAGTGCTGATGTGGGACTGATTAGACGTGCCACGTGGCACATTGAGGATACTTCAGATACTCGTTCAGACTATTGATTATTGAGGTGGTAGTAGAGGAGGGAGCCCGAAGCAGGAGTGGGCATTGTACTTTCCTCTCCTTTGTCTCTTCTCCCTCCTCTCTTTTCGTCTGTGTATGATTACCTCATCTCATTCTGTCTGGTTACGATTTGACTATTAGTAATCATCAGCCGATGGACATTTATCTGGGCTTGAATTGTTGACAAATGTCTTCACGATCTGGGTTCATTGCATCTGTTTCAGCAGTGAATATTTAGAAATCTGTGAAGCTCGTCATATACCTCTCCCCTGCTCTTTGCATGTCGTACTCTATCCTGCCCTCCACATATTTGCCCTCACCTCCGCTGCCCCATACGCCTATAGAACTCTGCCTTCTATCCCTTACCCTCCACCCTCCCCTCCACTCCCTTTGTGCTACTAACAAATACATACAAATGAGCATCTTTTAGATAACAGACGATATGAAGAACAGAAATGAAATGAACGGAAGTATGAAGATGAAGGACGGACACAAAGACTGTATTAGATGAAGATCTAAAGTGAAATGAACAGGAGTATGAAGCTCTGAAGAGAAATGCACAGGAACATACCTTCCCTTTTACTCTGCCTCCTGAAATAGCGTGCAAGTGGGCCGTGAAGGCACACGGGGATGTGGGCAGCTGCCACTCAACCACAATCAACGTGGGCAGCCTTGGCACAGTAAAAGGGGAGCTGCAAGAACAATGAAAGGGGTACCCCAAGGACAACCAAAAAACTGTCTAATGACTCTAATTGTAAAATTGCTTTAATATGTTGGACATCTCAAATGCTCTTGTTGTCTGCAATAGGACAAAGACTGCTTTGATTCTGAATCTGTTCATCTGGGTGGAATTGGGGCTGTTGTGGGGATAACACGCACACACACAAAAAAAAAAAAAAAAAAAAAAAAATCGGGAGGGGTTCCTGCTGTTCGGCAGGCAAACTGCCTTGCTGCATTTTTTTTTTTTAATTAAAAAATATGTGGTGTGAAGAACCCCTCCTCTGCAATACATTCAACAAAAAAAACACGAAGAACTCAAAAAGAGAAAAAAAATAAAGCAGTTAATGTTCGGGCCGAACCTCTGGCTGGGGGATCCCAAACGCTGGCTACCCTGCTTGCAGATATATTGTTTATGGCTGTTGCGCATGAGTCGTTGAGTGGATTCATGAGATTAATCAAACTTGACACGATTTTATTGTTTGTTTGTTCACAGGCAAAAGGTAACAATGGAGACGGCCCAGATCTCTTGGCGGATACTGACAGCAGCCACAGGGATGTGCTTCGGCGACTGCTGGATGAGCATCGCCATCATCTCGAGAGTCTACAGGTACACAGCTTCACATGCACTACTCTTTTTCAGCTCCTCCTTGCACTTCTTGGCAGTCATTGTGTCCTCAGGCCAATCCACCTGACAATGGCAGAAGTTGAGGCACAATTCACAGACGGACACATGTTGGTGTGCTTGTCTGATGTACATGAATTTTAAAGTGTTTATCTTGCTCGCCTTTCTTTAAAGGTGGGCACTTCCTTCCCAACCACAAAGACAAGGAGAACAAGCACGTGATAAACCTTGCTATTTCTAGTGGATGGAGTTCTATTTGGTGGGACTTCACGGCATGGAGAGGTAGGATAGTAGGAATAGGGGGTGCACTGGGAGAATTGATGAGAGGATGGGTCTCACAAATGGAACAATTGTCAGGACAAGCAATGGCTGGCTGATGGAGCGACCACCGTGTCTCTGGAACCTGGCCTCTACAAAAACCTCGGCTTCAGGGTTGCATGCCTGCCGACCGCCGACCCCGACCACCGACCGTTTTGCAGCCGACAAGTAGGGCCTACTGGTTGGCGGTCTGCCGACCAGTCAGAAAACAGCCATCTACTGATTTTTTTTCACATCTGAGTTAGGGGCTGTACTGCGCTTGCTGAGTACAGCTTAAAT